GCATTTATTACAAAACATAACTCCATAAACATCACAGTCACTTGATTACATTAAAATCCTAAAACGACGGTGTATGCTATCAAAAGGTTTGTTTAGGGTTACCAACTCATGATTTAGCCATTTTAAACTTCTATTCTTCAGTGCTGTGAGTTGTTATGGATGATTGTAATCTGTTCAATCTTAATTTGGGTCGTGATGATCATTTTAGTATTAAAGATCCATTCATAACATGAAAAAAAATATGAAAAAAACATGAAAAAAATTCTACAGTCATTTCAAAAGTTGCATTCATTACAAAACATAACTCCATAAACATCACAGTCACTTGATTACATCAAAAACTTAAAGGAAATTCATGAAAAAAACCATAACCACAAGAACTAAAAACTAAACCCTAAATCTAAGCCTCATCCTCGTCTGACTCTGTATGTGAGTCCTCCTCATCTGACACATGGCCCCCCATCCCTTGCGGCCTCCGCTACCTCCTCACCTCGTGCAAGCTCCAAACGAGCAAGCCTATCTTCCACACCCTTGAACCTTCCCTGTATGTGTCTAAACCTTTAATTCCCTTTTTCTATGTGACTCTTTCTCCATTTTTTATGTTTCAGCGCCATCTTTCCTATCTTCTTCAGTGTGGCATTTATGCCCTTCATGACATTACGCAAAGAAAATCCACCTTCAGGTTCAACTATCTCCTCAACCTCAGCCTCATCATCCTCCTCCTCCTCATCCTCCGCCTCTGGCTCCACCATGTGTGGATCTGGGGCAACATAAGGAACCTCAACCTCCACCGTACCAGAGAACTGCCACACACTCGCCCTGTTCTTTGCGATCTTGCACTGCTCCAGTAGACGCTTTCCAAACTTGCTATTATAGCATGTGGTCTTCTTCAACTGCTCAGTGTCCATAGGAACACCGAAGTGAACCAATATCCTCTGTACCAAACAGGCGAATGGAAGATGACCCTTATGTTTGGCCTTATATAGTGCCTTCAGTTCACCATAACACCATGTCGAATAGCCCACATGATAGGAATGTCATGTTCTATCACCCTGGAATGATTGAAAGCACGCGGAAACAGTATGTGGGTGATAACATAGTGTAATATACGGGCCTCTACACTAAGCAACCCCACCATGTAGTGTATGTTCTGCCCACGTGCGATATCAGGCCTCTTGGCCTCCTCCACAGCATCACCTCGGGCATATCCAGGAAGTGATACACCGCTATCAGCGTCATACTCCACAGTCTGCGAAGAGTCAAAATCATAGCCTAGTAACTCTATCCATACCGGAGCCGTCATGATGACGTCCACACCTCAGACCCTCGACCTCAACTCACCTTGTACGTAGTTGAGGTTATGGTAGAAGGCTTGCACCATCATCTCTGAATACGGACACAGCGTCTCAGCCAACACCCTCAGATGTGCCGTCTCCAACACCTCCACAATCTGAAATCCCTCCATCGTAAAAAATGTTGTATCCAATGATTTTGGAGGACATAAGGGCCGGTTCAAATGGTCACGTACAAATGCAGCGTGAACCGAGGGGTCATCCTCAAATAGGTATCCAAATGGGAGGTCGACAGTATCAGGCTCTTTGTCTTGTGGCCTTGATGAAGAAGGCTGGTCTTGTCGAAGCTTCGTGCGTCTCTCATGTTCTTCATTGCTTGGTCTTCTGCGGCCCGCTATTTTTACGAAATACCTACAATGAACATTTAAAGTGAGATTTACATAAGATACAAAAAGCATGCACAACAAATTTATAAGTACCATTTCTTTGATGTTTCTGTATTCAACTACAGCCACAGACAAGTATACTTTTTTAATTTTCCATTGTTGTTGTCGAGACCATTATAGACAAGTTGTTAATTTTCTCAAAATCATGCATGACAATAACATAATAACTTGATGTAGATAACAAAAAGCTTTCCCATTGCAGTATACTGACCAGCATTCTACCATAAATCAGAGACAAAACACCCAATTATATGACTAATTTGTGTACAGGAAAAAAATACAAAACTTAAAACATAAGGTGCAATCCACACGCCTCACGCAGGTTTCAGTTGTTCTTCTGGAAGAGATCGATTTGGGGTTTGGGAGAGGGGTGTTAATTGCAACGCCCGGCCATTTCAAGAATCAACGACTATCCCCACATACTAACACGAGACTTTTCAGTGTGTTTTTTCCTCACTCGCACACTTCCCGTGAAAACTTCCCAGGAGGTCACCCATCCCAGAATTGCTCCAAGTCAAACACGCTTAACTGTGGAGTTCTTCCGTTTCGGGCTACCGAAAAGCAGATGCATCTTGTTAGCATAGGTAGTACCAATTAAATCTTATAAGCTATCTCAAACTGTGCAGTCTTATACCTGCACAGCCTTTGAAATCCCTCTCTTTCGGGTGTCGATTCGATTCAATCATGCATGTGACCCCCCGCTGGAAGCCTGTCAGGAGCCGCTCCTTGTCTGTGCCTCTTTGCACCGGCGATCACTCCCCGCCCTCGTCAGCGCTCGGGATGTTACATGCCCACCAGCTTCCGCCTGGTTCGTCCTCGAACCACACCGTACTGGATGAGAGGCCCTGCTCTGATACCACTTGCAACGCCCGACCGCTTCAAGAATCAACGACTATCCCCACATACTAAGACGAGACTTTTCAGTGTGCTTTTTTCTCACTCGCACACTTCCCGGGAAAACTTCACAGTAGGTCACTCATCCCAGAATTGCTCCAAGTCAAGCACGCTTAAATATGGAGTTCTTCTGTTTTGGGCTACCGAAAAGTAGATGCATCTTGTTAGTATAGGTAGTACCAATTAATTCTTATAAGCTATCCCAAACTGTGCAGTCTTATACCTGCACAACCTTTGGAATCCCTCTCTTTCGGGTGTCGATTCGATTTATTCATGCATGTAACCCCCCGCTGGAAGCCTATCAGGAGCCGCTTCTTGTCCGTGCCTCTTTGCACCGACGATCACTCCCCGCCCACGTCAGCGTCGGGATGTTACATTAATCGACTAAGGTTTGAATAAACCCCCCTCTGCCAAATGGGAGGTTTTTTAAAAATATTTCTGCCGACATTTAGTCGACTACATAATTATTGTAGTCGATTAAAAGTCCCGAAATTTAATCGATCAAGAGGGATTTTTAATCGACTACATTTCGTGTCAAAGCAATTTCTGAATTTTGATTGTTTAGTCGACTAAACCTTCAACGTAGTCGATTAAATAGGGGCAGGTTGGTGGATAGTTATGGATCAGGGACAAATTGGTTATTAATTAATTAATGAGGGGCACTAGAGTTAAAAAGTCCAAAGCCGATCCGGTGCAGACCGGGTTGGCCCATTAATCACTTTTTAATTCTTAGGAGCTTATCCATGTTATATACTTTTTTTTAAGGCAATTTACTCTTGAAAAATTTAATTATCATTCATCAAAGATAGAGTAAAACCTCTGGTGTTACCACGTTAAGTTTTCAATTTTTCACAAAATTAGCCCCTCAAAAACTAGGTGTCATTACATTTTGGTAGTGTTTGGTTCAGGAGAAATTTTATTTTACTAGGAAAATGTAATTGATAGGAAAATGGAAGGAAAGTAAGTTTGGTAGGAAAGTTTAAAAAAAGTTGTTTGGTACCTCAAAATATTGATGGGAAAATTGGGTTAAAAATCCTGATGTATGTTTGGTTGAAAATAAGAAATAGATGGGAAAAAAGTTAAAATTACGAAAGTAACCTTTTTATTAAAATTTTGAAATGTTAAAGTGTGAAGCGGATGTATTGTATGATGTTCATGCCGTAACCTTGGCTCTCTCCAAGCGCATGATTAAAGAGCCCCACCCTCCCCTCACTGACGTGGCACTCATTCATTGGCCCATTCCATCTCGTCGGGATTCATACCAACACACCAATAAACAATATCACTCATCCCTTCTTTCTCTATCTGTGTTTTTCTCTTTGCAGAATTTCTCAAAAAAAAATTGTGTTCTTTCATGGTGGCTTCATCCCTTCTCTCTATCTGTGTTTTTCTCTCTCCAGATTTTCCCAAATTTTTTGTGCTCTTTCATGGTGGCTTCTCCCAGAGCTGTGGAGATAGCAGCGAAGAGGAGGGGTAAATTTGTCACATTTTTCATCCCCTTTTCAATTTGTCCGGTATTCAAAACAATACCATCATCTGAGAGGGCTTCTGAAATAGTGAAAAACTCATTTTTTACACGCATATGTGGATAGATGGGGAAGCAAGTTTGATGGAGAAATTTCATGATATCCTCCAACCAAACGTGGAGAAATGAGATACCCAGATGCACTTTGCTGGGATAGTGAGGAGAAGTCTCGAACCAAACACGACCTTAGTCTTTCAAGGAGTTTTATTACCAAATTAATCCCTTAAAGATACAATACAATAATCAAATTCATACTTCTGTGTCACCACTTTAGTCTTCAAGGACGAATATGATGACATTTCAGATATTTGAAGGACCAATTTGATAACAAAATCTTTGAAAAACTAATGAGGTGATAATTTTTTTTAAAAGACCAATATGGTTGACAAACTAATCTTTGGAGGACCAAATAAATGGTTTAATCTTGAAGATGCATTTAGAGAAATTTTTATGTATTCTGAGAGGACTACAAGAACTATTCTCGGTGTAGCTAAGAACTATTCACATATTTATAGGCTAGAACGGCACTGTTGCTTCTAATGGATCAAACTACTGCCAGCATAATAGCTAAAGAATTAACAAATACAAGGGATAAAATCAAACTTTAACTAATGGTCCATTATCAAACTGCTTCTAATGGTCCATTATCTCATTTACGAATGCAACATTCACTTATTTGTTTCATACTTTGACTATTTGATTCATGGATTGAAACAGAATAAATTTCCCATGGATAATATCAAACTCTGCCTTGTAAGTGCCTTCACAAAATTGCAAAAGTCACCAATGAAGTCTCCTTGGCCAGTCAAAGAATAGGATAACTAACTCTTCATGATCACAACATAGAAAAAGGAACAGCAGAAACAACAACAATAAATGTAATTTTATCCTTATGGCAGAAATATTTTGCCATCATGAGTGAGAGATGAGCATAGAGTGTCAAATTAGTTTACATAAGGATAAACCTAATCATGCTTCTTTCCTTTGAGCTTTCCCTTGGGGATTTTGCTGAGCACACTAGCATCCAGTTTTCTATAGTGATTTTGTAACTGATCAAGGACCATGTACACGAAGTTTTCAATTTCATCCTCATACCTTTCATAGAGAACTGGGAGTGTATGTGCACCTACAAAACCTAAGGACAAAATAATTGTTTCAGCAATTCTTGTATAACATGAACTATCAACTAGAAGGGAAACACATCATTGTTGAACTTCTAAAAGCTGTCATCCATTTGAAATGTTAGGCGGAAATGGGAATGGATCCTCTTATGTGACATCAAGTAATGTAAGACGATCTCAGCTGCCTATAGACAAATCAGTGGTTATGGAAAGTATTAGGATAGAGAGTAAGGAAATGATAACCGTTGATTTGTTTATTGACGGTTCAAATCGTCTCACATGAAAGGATCCATTCCTGACAGTAATAGATTCACAAAACTATATACACGAACATTAGACAATATTTGTTTATAATAAGATCCAGTTCTTGGGATTACATGTTATCAGAAAGCACTTAATCAGGTGTGCCTTTGTGTACTTCTATCATGTTACCATCAAAATTCTCTCCCCCCTGCATCTTACCTCAAATATACCTCAACATGTTTCCCAGAACACAATTTGGTGCATATTCATTTTACTTTTAGTATGCTAGCTGCTTTAATCATCATAGAAGGTTGGCAGTTACCATCGAAGAAATGGTAAATATTATACAATTTCCATAATTTAAACTGTTCAAGTATTCAGGAGAATGTTTGTTTCACATGGCAGCAAACTTTACAAGCAAATATTTGGATCAGCACATTAAAGAATAGTGGATCTATCAAAATATGCAAAGAAAGAAGGTCTCTTACCAGTATAGATGACAGTCAAAAAATTGCACCAGCTCCCAATCACAGCAGCAGCACACAAACTTCCTACCACCTGGGGATGTTTGAACCATTGATCACAAACTCCATGGAAAAATACATGTAACTTTTCTTTGCTCCATGTAAAACTAAATATCGTTTTAAGGTACGTAAATGGCTAAAAACAAGCCACAATTGGTACAGTAAATGGTGCACCATTATGGTTGTGCATTCAAGATACTTAACCATTCATATTGTTTATTAGTCATATAAATACAATGCACCACATCAGGTAAAACAACAAATCCATTTATTCACCCATCAAACTTCCAATATATTTTTTTTCTTCCCAAATTCAGTGTATACCATCCCTAGTGGTCTTCTGTTTTTTCCCCTCCCATACACCCCCATCTGGTTACAACTCTTCAATCTCTATGCAAAATAATGTTCACATCTTTGGTGATAACAATGTGACACAATGAGGCATAACCACATAACATGTAATTATAGTCAGTTTAACAGAAATGAACCTTCTCAAGCCACTGCTGCATAAGGTTTACATTACTTGAAAGTACAACAAACTCAAGCAACTTCTCTCTTATTATAAGGCATCAATTATAGAGTTCTTTCTAATTTTAAATATGTATTTACATTGCTCCATTTTCATATGTCGTGCCTGCCTTTATGCCTCAAAATAGGGTAAAACTACTTTCTACTACCCAGGTTTTAATAAAGCAATTTAGATTAACTCCTAAGTGACTTCTATTTTGCTGATATAGAATGGAAGATCCTGTTATGGATGTCAGCACTAGACTAAATATGATGACAATCTATGGAATATGATGATATGCTAGAGTCATACAGCATACCATGAAGTATTGTCAACATTATGTCTTTATAGACTCCACCATACTAGTAAAAGTTCAAACAAGCATTTGCCATTACAGCTATCAATAACATGTCACTATTTAAAGTTTATGTAGAAAACTACAAATTAAAAGGAATTGATTGAAAAACAAGCACCGACACAAACACAGAAGTCAGCAACTAAAGAATAGTATCATCTGGAAAAGCATGTTTTAAGCTTGACTCTGGATGGTAAATGACAATACCAAAGTAAATGAACATAAGTGCAAACATACAATAAGAAATTGCTTCAAGTTTCTTCCACAAGCAACATCTTGAAGAAACCTCAAACGGCTGTTAACCTCGTTACCAACTACAGTTGCAATATTCACAAAGAATTCTTCTGGGACAACAAGACGGGGCACTTTAGACGGTGTACTGTCAACATAAAGAACAAATATATTTAGCTGTAAAGTTGTGACACATTCAACATAGAGTGCTTATGATACCAAATAATTAGTTACTAAAGAAGAGATGTAAAGATGCTCAAATAACCTGTTAAATAAGCCAGAAGCATTTGTCCATAGAAACTGTGCAAGCATGCCAAGAACCAAAACAAAGCATAAAAGAGTAAGAAGATGATAGTTAAGCCATTCGAAAAGCACCCATGCAGTTGTTGCACTAGTTAAAACACTAGCAGAAATCTTCTTGTTCCTCCATAACAAGACATCCGCAGCTAGCTAATTCAAAGGCACAAACAAAAAAAGATATTTAAATGGTTTAGTTGACACCAATACTATACATTTTTTCAAAAAATTCACTATAGATACCATACATTTTCCACCCCCTAAAAGATGGTGCACCGGTTTCTGGCGTCCAAACAGTCTGTTTATCTGGGAGCTGACTGAATTTAACTTCTCTTCCTCAATGAATGGTACTGATTTTTGCTTCTCAGCAAATGTGTCCACAAGGCTGTTAAGAAGGTTCTCAGCTGTGATTCTCTCAGACATTGTTCCTTTGCTATTAAGAACAAAAAAGAACATTATCAAAGATTGTAGAAAATAGCTCTTATACCAAACATCAATGTATCATTATTAATCATCAGTTAAGAGAAAACCAAGACATAAAGTGAATGTAAGAGGTTCAATTTTTTTTCTGAGGTACAACATAAGAGGTGACTGCATTGCTAAACTTGAAATTATAAATTAATAAACTATGGCTACTGTTACACCCATCAACACCAAAGAAATCTTGTAGGTCACAAACCAAACATCTCTGACAAATAATTAATTTAATCTTTCTGTACTTCATATTCGTCAAGTTTACCACATTGATGGCATTCAGTCATTTTAGTGTGTGTTAGACTCAGTTTGTAATTGCTACCAGTTGGTCTTAACTCTTTTTTCACCCTTGCCTTTTCCAGTGTTGTTAGAGATAGAAGTCAATCATTGGCTTGCCCGTAACAACTTGATTTGATTCTAGACATGGTTTCAAAGCCTCTTGACCAATTACTTGGTCAGTAGTTTGATCTTTTGAACCCATTCTGACAGGAAAAACTTGAATTCCTATGCCATAACAGAGCCCTTAAAAGTCAGTAACTCCTTTTGTCTTTAAATCGTAGTCAACATATACACCATATTTCTTCAACTATTCCTCAATATTACTTTTCGTTTTCAAACTGTCAATTAGAGGGCAAGTCTTGTAGTAGTGGTAAGATTGCTCCTTATGACCGGAAGGTCAGGAGTTTGAGTCTGGTAAAGGATAAGGCTGCGTACAATGGACATTCACTCTTACTCTCGCAAGCAGGGGAAATGTGCACCGCAGTTTGCCCTTTTAAACTGTCAACTCTCTATATAGCAAAAGTGGGAATTTTTTATTAAGATCAATACTAGTGCACTAATGTAGTATCATGATCCAATATGATTCACATTCTCTAGTTAATTCATTACAGTTGCCTGTGTAATTTGAAGAGACAATGTCTCCAATTCCTAATAACTTATTTTTTAAAACAGATGATTCACAAAGTGGAATTGGGGCAGGGGATGGGCCGTAACAGTATAAAGCATGAGAAATCAAAAACATCGTAAACCAAAAGCAAGTTAATATTACTTAGGCACTATAAAAGAAGAACAAAACCAAAAGGCATGAACCTAACCAGCTAACCGTAGAATATTGGCAGCCTCAATATATTAAGTAAGCTATACAGCAGTATATCTTCAACTTTCTAAGTTACTGGCATTGGGTAATTGATTTATTTGTCTTTAAGAATTCATACACATCAATTGCAGCAGAAGATGAAACAAAATGAATTAGACTTGGAATTTCAAGCTCATCACTTGTCATTTGTCAACATAAATCACAAACAATTCTGAGAAAATTGGAAAACAAAACTATTTAAGTTATTTGAGATTGCCTAAGCAAACAGCTTCTGAAAATTTACCATAGGGATGTATGCACAATATAAATAAATACAAGATATTGATCCTAAAGATCTCGTTTCAGCAGACTTTTCATTCAGTAGAAAGCCTAGTTTCATGAAAGCAAATAAATCTCAGCAGTAGTATAATTATTTCCCTCTAACTATCAATTGCTATTGCAGTAGACAGGATTAGGAAAAAATCAGAAAAGAACGCACGCGTGTATATGTACATGTATATGTACCCGAAAGAAGAGTTGATAAGCCAAGATCACAGATAGAAAACAGATAATTTTTGAAAAGTTGTAATAGGGAAAGCGAAAAGAAAAAGGGGTACCCTAGATACATTTTGTTTTTTCTTTTTCTTCACAAGGTTAAAGAGCATTTGACATATCATGACAAAGATCACTTAAAAAAAAAAAAAAAAATAGATTCAAATTGTATGCCACCTCAATCACCTACAAATACCTTCTTCATCTTCAAAGTTACAAAACCATTCACTAAATTCCCACAAAGTGAAATTCACTAGACCAACGAAAACGCCCACAAATAAAGTCAACCCATCATCAAGCAAAAGAGATACACAACAACAACAACAAGAAGAAGCATCAATCAATTGCATCATAGAAGAAAGAACAAAAGTACAACATAGGTAAATGAAATTCACAAACCAGCGTCAGCAGAGGGAGATTGAAACAAAACGAAGAAGCAGCGTGATGGGGTTGTGATGGCATCACAAATATATCCACGAAGTACAACAAAACTGCATGCAAAAGCTGAATAACAACGATAACTGACCAACTGGTCAACTACCAACAACGGTTTCTCTTTATTTGACGTGACACGTGTTATTAAATCGAGACCGGTCATCGATTTAATTGAATACTAATCAATGAGTCACAGATTCAAGAGTGTGAAATTGATCAAACTACTTGTATTTAATTTATTTAATAATATATAATAAATATAAAATTAAATGCACTGTTTCAAATAAAATAAAGAGAGTTGATTTAGTGGTAAAAGTTTCTTGACTCAATCAACCTGTATGGCAATTTTTTTATAATAAAATACTGTAATTTTATAACTTATAACTGAAAATTTACATTCATTATAATAAATTACGAACTTATTAATATACTTTAGTATATATATTTTTTAAAAATAACCCCTTAATTTATATATTTTGAATTCTAATTTTACTGTCTAAAGGCTGAAAATTGTTTGAGTATTTTGTTTAAAGGGCTAAGAAAATTGTACTATATAACAACATGATGCACCTTACAAAGTTAAAATGCCATGCCATAGAGAAATCAGGAAACGACGTACGAAATTCCGAATATCTTCTATAAAATTAATTTTTATCATGTAAGTTTGCTTATTTTTACCTTTTTTTTATCAACTCATATAATTTTAGTCTTTCAGTCAATGTTTTGGCAACCATCTAAATTATTTTATTAATTAATTTTCTGTCAAGTTTAAAAAAAAATTAAAAATATCACCACATCAAGGAATGTTTGACACGTTAAGGTAATTTAAAACGATAATTTCTAAAGAAAATCAACGTAAAGATTTGATGATAATGATGAATTAAGATATAGATCAAGTGTTCAAATAATTTATTTTTTATTTTTTTTGGTATATTGCGGTATTCCCGTTTGGGCTAGCCCCTCATTGTAACAGTGGGTAAGCTTCGCAACCGAAAAAAGGACAAGACTAATCCCCTAACCGAAGATTTTTAGCTTATCCTCTGACCCCCAAAGATTTTTCAAGAAATTGCTTGAGGCAGGATTTGATCCCTGCACCAAGCAATCCCTTGGGAGCTCAGCTGCTAACTTAGCTAACCTCAAATAAATTATTTAAATAGAGGTGTTTTAGGTGTTATATTAATTAATACGTAACTTAAAGCGTGTGGAACAGGTCATGCCGTCCAGTTGAACATGGATATGCGCTGCCAACATGAATATAAATTCTTGATAAGTACTTCTTTATAACGTGCTCCATTTGGTTGCTGGCTCTACAGCTTGGTTTTTTAAAGATAAAAATATGTTAGCGGCTTTTATCAAATTTGGCTAGATAAGAGGAAGAGTGAAAGACCGCTTTTAACACCTAAAGATAGTATATATAAGTAAGAGTAAGTATCTTTTGTATCGCTAACAAAAAAATAAATATAAAACTCATTTTAATTCTTAAAAAAAAGTATTTATATTAGTCTTTTTCGAGAGATTAATGTGGGTTTTCTTTGAATTTTTAAGGAAACACAATCTTAAAGAACTAAAATTTCATAGGGACCACAATTCGATTTTTTTTTTCTAAAGGATTAAAATGAGTTTCGTGTTTTTTGTTGAGCACACAAAAGGGTATTTACTATAATAATCCTAACATGTGTAATTAGGAAATTGCATGTGATTAATGAACTAATCATGCATAATCGAGTTGAATTAAGCAAAAAGGCTTAATTAAATTAATTAAAGTCACTTTTGGGCAAAAAGTTCAATTAGTGAGAGTTTTGGAATAAAAACGTAGTTAGGCAAAATTATCCAAAATCGATGAATAGTACCAAAAAAAGTCAGATAAATGAAGTTATGAAAGTTGAACACATTTTAGGAAATCTCGAGTCATTTGGCTAGACAAAGTAAGAAATGAAGTTAAAATAGAAAATTATCATGTTTGGTGGTGTAACCAAGTACCCATAGTCACTTAAGTAAATGAATAAAGCAAGAAAGAGACATAACACTCTCATTTTTCCCCTCTTCTTCTTCCTCTCATCCGTCGACCACCATTGGACAATGGGGAGAAAATTTTCAAATCTTGCAACTTGAGTTGTAGACCACCAATTAAATGACATGATTCCAAAGCCAAAATCACTTTAAGTCTTTCCTTCTTTCCATTCCTCTACTCATTTTCAGTTGGGGTTTAGTGTATTGAGAGATATTTTCCTTGAATCACTTCAAAATTTTGAGGATTTTTCATGTTTGGAGTGTTTTGGGAGCAATGGACCATGGGTTTTCTTCTCCCTAGTATTCTAGCATGACCCTTGGTAAGTTTCCTCCACTCAAACTTCATTATCAACCCATCAGTAATCGAAGCATGTGTGACGATTTGATTGTTTAATTTTTTTTGCCATTTGAATGTATGAGTTCGCTGCAGTTAAATCATTACTGTTATTGCCTCTAGATATATGACGTAATTCATGTCATATATATACTAACCTTTTATGCAGAAAGTGAACTCATGGGTTGGAGGAATACTCCAAGAACCCTGGGTATATTGAGATGTTTATCTCACCCCGTGTTGTGGGTACCCCTTTCAGATACTGATGGTACAGAAGCCCCTGTTGGCAGGAAGCCACAATAGATATAGATTGATGCATGTTATTGTTGTTGTCATTATGGAGTGCATGTCATTTAGTATTATCATATGTATATGTAAATTCTGAGGCCATATGATGTATATTATGGAACTTAGCCCAAGATCATTATGATGTTAGTTGTTACATGTTGTATATAGTCAATAACTTTGATCATGTGTGTAGTAGCTAAGTTATTTAGGAATGCATTGATGTATTTGAGATATGTAGACAATGGATGTAGTATGATAATTATGTTATTGCTCATTATAGACTTGTACAAGAATTTATGTAAAAGAAAAATTAATGAATATGGTGGGATGTAAGTGCCATAATATGTGTTGGATCATTGTTGGTCATCCCTAGTTTATTACGTACCTAATTCACCCAATTCTCCATCATGTTTTATGCCTTTATGCAGAATGAACATGTTTTTATCTGTTGGAGCGCACTAAAGCGCCCTAAAGCGCTATTGGTGGCCTAAAAATACCAATTTTCCCTGCCTGGGCGCGCTAAAGCCTGTTACCGGGAAAAAAATGTGTTCGAAGGGAGTGCAAAATATAACACCTCACATTTCTAAATTATATAATATATTAAACATGGATTAAAGGGAAGGATTAGTGAAAATCCTGAAAATCAGGTCAAAATACAAAGAAAGGGTAAAACGGTAATTACCCAAGCACACAACCCTAGGAAGATAAAATTGAGTAGGAGGTCTCAGATAATAAAAAAAACCCTGGAAATGGATTCAGAATGAAAAATTGAGTGGATAGGCAAGTTTCAGAAAATTCCGTGAATAGTATTTTTACCGGGTAAAAATACCGCAGTACAGTTGCACCGTAAAACGTGTCGATCGAGTTTTGAGCTATAAGTTTTGAATACAAGCTATAAATGGTATATATGACTAGGAAACATGATTTGTGATGAAAATTAATAGAAATTAGTAAGTTTGGGAAAGCGTGCTTACGGCGCGCGTAACAGCTTAAAACTGCAATTTCTCCGAATGACCGAAAAACTCAGGATTTATCTGATCAAGGGTAATTAAAGGACAATGGTTAATGTTAAAAATTAGAGTTTCTAAATAGGTTATGAATTTACGGACGTTTAGCGGATTAAGCGGGAGTTTTAAATTAGTTTGAAATTGCGTGAAATGGCGGTGGGACCCACTCCACTTAAGTCACTTATGCCACATGTTCCTACCACTATTCATCATCACCTTCTCTCATCTCTTCCTTGAAGAACCCGCGGCCTCTCCCTCTCTTGTACCCTATTTTCATTCAAATTTCTTTCTCTCCTAACTTAATCATTCAAGCACCAAATCAAGCAAAGTTTGACTTGAAATTTGTTGGAAATCACCTCCCAAACACATTGGTGGTAGTCTTGAGCCATGAACCCCACTATTTTTTGTGAAACCCCCCCCCCCCCAAAACTACGGCCCTTTGTGTAAGATTTGTGTTCATGGAGTTGTTTGGAGCTCCAATGGTTTAGTATGTCTTGGAGGAGTCTTAGGCCTTGATATTGGGTAAATTTCATCACATTTTATTGGTTGGATTTGTTGATTTAATTCATGAATCCTAAGTGCATTTTGTATGATTTGTGTTGCAATAAAATTTATTGAGGAAATGCGATCATAACTTAGGAAATTTTGGATGATGCCATGAATTTGTGAAGTTCGATTGTTGTTAGGATTGTGTAATTGGATTGTTGGATGTTTGTATGAGTTAATAATATGATTGTGTGAGGTGTGGAGTAGTTGAATTGGATTGAAAAATCCTTGGTATAAGCCAAGGGAGAATTTGGCCTTGTGTAGGATCATAGGGAATATGATGTTGTAAAATTATTTGGATGATGTGTTGTGTGTTAAATGGTAATTAGAAGGGTTGTGTGATGGTTGAAAGCTTTGAAAATCAATGGAAAAAAATTGGATGGTGTATTGAACCTAGAGCGAATTAATTGGCAAAATGATGTTTGAATGATGTAGGATGCAAATTGACACCTAAAATGACATTGGGGTAACCTTAGAATGCTTAAAAAAATTGAAAAGAAAATAAAGAAAAATAATTTAGATTTTAACACTAATTTGGCTGAACCTCACCGTAAGAACCTGCACCGTTAATTAAGGAAGTTAATTAATTAATTATGAGAAATTAAGAAATAATTCCATAATTGACCCTAATAATTATTATGAGGCTTAAATAATTTAGTAAGTGAGTAATAATACTGAAAGTCATTTTTCTGACGAAAAGTGCAGATACCGGTTCTGCTACTCGGTATAAATGCGTACCGACGAAGTATCCCGAAAAATTATAATAAGTGCATGAATATTCTTAGAATAATATGTAGGACTTGTAAAACGAGTTTCAAGTCAAAATAATAAGAACGGGTGCCAGAACTGATATTGGCTATGAAAAAGCGCGTACCGGAAAGGTGCTGCAAAAAATAAAATAAAAATATGATAAATCTTAGAAAAATGAGTAGGTTCAGAATCCTAATTTTGGGTTTGGAGTCGGCCTGTAGAAGGGAGAGAGCACGGACTGCTCATTTGGCCACTGCACATGGGGCTGATCTGGAGCGAGTTTAGGAAATTTATTTCCGCTTCTTCTCTGGGTCAAATTAGGTGTATGATATGTCAAATTGAAGCTTGAGGTGTCTAGTTTCTTGTATAAAAATTGGAGAGAAATTGGTTTAGTTTAATTTACAAAATAATTGATTGAGTGAAGACTGTTTGGAGCCGTTTTGGGGTTGGCTGGCAGATTTGCTTGTCCAATTTCAAACGGCGATATCCGGAGAAAACGAGAACTTTATGAATCGTGTGATAGCTTCTTAGAAAGGTAATTAAGTCTAGAATTATATACTAAAACACGGGAGGCTTGTAGAATGCGGTTTGCCCGTAGAAATTCAAAGACCGAACCATGTTCGGGTAGAAAACGTAAAAGTGAGATTTTAGCTAAGTGGGTTTATGGGAACTCCTTAGTGACTTGAGAGATGTAATATATGGTATCTAGTTAGTTTAAATAATTATTCCGCAAAGATTTTACGGTTATGGTCACAACTTTTATTTATTACGCTTTTTATTGTTTTAAATGCTCGCGTAATAAACAGAAAAAGTTTACTCGCATTTTTATAAATGAATTGTTGTGATTGTAACTGCGCTTAATATCATAATTAATGTTAACAATACCGGTGTACAACAGGCACCTATCCTCGGATATTTTGAACGTCAAGACTATAGTGACGTAGAATGTTGAATATTCCTTGTTTCAAAGTCTTAGAACTTGTATCTTCCACATGTACAAGACCAAAAAACCTTTCCCGTATAAAACCATCTTTATCTACAAATCTAAAAACAATTGCCATATGCTCTTTTTTAGATACATCACTAGCTTCATCAACAATAAGACAAAACTTAGCATTGGAAATTTCTTCTCGTATTGTGGCCTTTACTTTTTGAGAGAAAACATGAAGAATTTCCTTTTGAATTCGAGGGGAACTATATGAAGCATTTTGAGGAGCTTTTTCTAACACAACTGCTGCAACTTCTTGATTATAAGAAGCTAAAAACTTAATCATCTCTAAAAAATTGCCCCGATTAAGTGAATCTAAGTTTTCATCATGACCTCTAAAAGCACATCCTTGAAATGCAAGCCATCTTATCACATCAACAGAAACTTGTAGCCTTAAACGATTAGCTGCAATCTATTCAGAAGTAAGCCTTTCAACCAATGTCTCAATATGTTGAGATTGGTTCATAAGATCACTACATGATCTCACAACATTTTTATGCACTGAGATAACATTTTTTTCCAACATGACGTAAAAAAGCACAATTTTCTCCATCATTAACCTTTTTCCAATTTTTGAAACCCTCAACAACAAATGTACTAAGTCCGAAACGTCCATTGCAACTTGGTTTGCTAAATAAATAACAAGGCAAACAAAATGCAACATCTTTTGTTGGAGAATACTCTAGCCAAGATGGATACAAGTCAAACCAAGAAGAGCAAAAACGACATTGATTCTTCTGTGGCCCTGAAAAAGGATAATTTTGAAGCTTGCACTGATATAGACCAAGTTTAAGATAAACACGACGGATTTCATCTTGTTGATTGATAGGATATTTCCATATTGGAAGGTGAAGTGCAGGATCTCTTTCCAATAAAGCAAGATCAACTTCTTTAACTACCTCTTTATTTTCAATTCTCGAAGACTAGAGCTGTCAAAAAGCCCCTTAGCCCTAGGGCCAGCCCATTAGGCCCCACAAATAGCCCTGTTAAATTTAGCCCTCTTTGCTAAAGGGCCACTTTTATCCTAACCTATTGAAACCCTCTCATTTTGAGGGCTAGGTTGGGGCTGGCCCAAGGGTCACATGTATTTCATTTTTTTCACTTTGAGAAAAAAAAAAGACAAGAAACAATCTTCATTATTCGTTGAATCGTTCTCACACAGAGTCACAAATTGAAAGGAACCCTAAAATCAAAACCCCTAATTCGCAGTAGGGAATCGCATGAAACTTCACCAAGATTGATATAATCACACAAAACATAGACTCTTGCAGATAATCCATCATAGAAGAGGCGGAATCCTAAAATAGGTATTCTAAGATTTTGGGGTGAAAAAAAGAAGCAAACCTGAGTTGTGAAAACACAGAGAAATCCTTTCAGAATTCAAACACTGTGATTAGGTATTGCTACTCTCCTTCTGCCTTTTGGATTTTGATTTTTGATTAAGTCTTTTGGTGCCTTGAACAATTATTGTTCACTTCTCATGCCACTCAAGCATGTCTATTTTTACTGTATCTTTTTCTTTTTTAATATATGGATCCTCAAACACCGTTAGAGCTTGTCAAGCACGGTGTCACTCTTCTCTTCCTCGATGTTCCTCAGTACACCCTAGTTGCCATCGATACTCAGGTTAACAATTTTCCTTTTTCTTTTTTTCTTTTTTGAAAAAAAATGGAAAAACATCGACTTAAAATTTTGAACTTTATAGAATAATAAAAAATCCCTTGTCATGTGATAAATTGTAGATTAACAAAAGGACATAACGCAATTGATTGAGAAGTTTTAAGTTTTAAATGTAGAGGTTATGTCCATGCCCTTTTATTATTCTTGTGGATTATCAAGTTATTGTTGTTGTTTTTTAAATTGAAGTTACTCAATTTAAAAATTTTAATGCTCTATAGTTTGAAGCCTACTAGCTATCAGCGGTAAACTTGGTAGTTTCCTTTGTTTAGCCTTATTTCAGAAGCCTTCGAAGGATGGTATAGATGTTCAATTTTGTTATTGGGATCTCATGTCATTTCATGTAAATGATCAAAATGTTTTTCTGGGAATCTGATGCCAAAAATGGTACTAGGGAAAATAGCATGGTACTTTTTATAGCTGAATGAGTACCTTTTTAATCAGCAACATTGCAATTGCGATATTTCAAAAGTTCCTCTTGAATAGTGATGCATTAAAAAGAGGATTAATGTATTATAAACCCCTCTTGGCAGTAATTAACTAAACTGGGGATGTGCCCCTTAGTCACAACTTGCCCAGAGCTAATGGCTACAATGATTAATTAGTATTGATATCTCCACTAAGCTAACACATCAGGAGCAACCTTTGCTGCAGCATGCTCGTTACCAATGTGATTTGAAAGCTTGCCATCAGATCCCCAAAAATCTGCACATTTCAAATCATCCTGAGCCATTAATTTGGAGAACTCCTCATGGTTATAGTTCAATATGCTTTTTCCACCTAGTTCTCTGGGAAGATTTTCCTCTTCAAAATAAGACTTCATGAGCTCCACGCTATCTTTATTTTTGGGGTAGACAAACTTCACCTTCTGAAATGTCTTGTTATCCAAGAAGTACTTTACTATCTGCATAAATATAACTACAACCTTCAACTTCAGCACAAAAATTGAGTAACTATTACATTCCAAATAAAAGGGCTAATACTCAATTGAGTAACTATTTATATAGGATTCTTTGTAAACTATATAATTTGGTTATGTTAATATTCAAGTTTTTTTTTTCGTGGTTGCAAGTGTTGGCACTCAATATTATTATTGTTATGAATTGTTGTTTAAGCCTAAGACAACATTGGTAACTTAATATGAAGTCAAAACATGATTGATTATCACCGATTCAACATTGAATGATTGTTTGGTCATCTATTTATGACGTGGCTTGTTGTCCCAATTCAGGCAGTTGTGGGTTACATGCTAGTGGCTAACGTAAAATCTTTGTTTTTCAAGTTGGTGCGATTTTCTTTGGGTCAAAATATGGTTGTTGTGGTTTTAACAGGTGACGAACAACGGATGGGCCGAGGGTGAGTGCAAAGGGAAAGCAGGTTGGTTTTAAACTCTAAAGGTTTGTTGTTGATTGTGTTTTGCTCATTTCCTAAATTATATTTTGAGTATCTGAATTTAAATATTGTTTATAAAATATATTATTGTTTTTTCCTTCTTATAGATAATATTTTTTTTTTAATAATTGTATTTCATTTAATGTATAGGAACTGAAAAATTGTATAATGGAGTATGTGAATAAGACTATGAACGTAGATGATGAAGTTGTTTCTGAAACTCCCTATGAAATGTCTAGAAGTGTTGAGACAATTAGGAGAGAAACATCTAATGTTTGGAAGTCTTTTACAAAAATTGGTATGGACAATGATGGTTTTGAAAAAGCTGCATGTAATTATTGTGGTCGTGAATACGTATTTGGTAAAAATCCTAAGACCAAAACTAGTTATGGAACTTCACATTTGAGTCGTCATATTTCTGGTTGTAAGAGTATGGCAAACTCTGAATAAAAAGATCAATATGAAAAGTCTAGCGTGAGAAAGGTTAATCAAATGACCCATCAAGAATTGCTTGCACAAGCCATAATCAAACATGATCTTGCTTTTAGTTTTGTTGAATATGATTTGATCAGAGTGTGGATTGATTATGTAAGTCCTGATATTGTGATGCCCTTTAGGAATACAATTGTGGCTGATATTAAAAAAATATGCATCCAAGAAAAGGACAAAATTAAGCAACTCTTGTCCAGCCTTCCTAATAGAGTATGTCTGACTTCTGACGTTTGGACATCATCTAACAGCGAGAGTTACATCTGTTTAACTGTCCATTTTGTTGATGAAAAATGGAAATTAATTAGCAAGATTCTTAATTTCTCTCGACTGAAACCTCCACACACTGGGATTGAATTGGAAGCCGCTATATTTGATTGCTTAAAGCAATGAGGAATTGAGAAGAAAATATTTTCTATTACTTTGGACAATGCTGCTGCAAATGATAACATGCAGCTTATATTGTTAAACCATCTCCATTTGCAGAATACTTTGTTGTGTGATGGTGAATATTTTCATATACGTTGCTCTTCACATATACTTAATTTAATTGTTCAATAAGGTTTGAAAGTGGCTGTTGAAGCACTTTATAAAATCAGAGAAAGTGTTAAGTATGTGAGAGGATCAGATGGGAGGATGATTAAGTTTCAAGATTGTGTGGAACAAGCAGGCATAGACACAAGCATTGGTTTGAGATTAGATGTGTCAACTAGGTGGAATTCTACATATTTGATGCTAGAAAGTGCACTTACGTATGAAAAGGCGTTTGATATTCTCCAAGTGATAGATATGAATTACAAATATTGTCCGTCATGTGAAGAATGGAGAAGAGGAGATAAAATATGTGAATTCCTAGAACCCTTTTACGAGACTACAAACATGATATCAGGTTCATCTTATCCAACGTCTAACTTATACTTTGTACAAGTTTGGAAGATTGAGTGCATACTGAACGAAAACTTGTATAATGATGATTATACTTTAAGTGATATGTCACTGAGGATGAAAGAGAAGTTTGACAAATATTGGAAGGAATATAGTACAGTTTTAGCTTTTGGAGCTATTCTTGACCCGCGTTTGAAGCTTGTTTTCTTAGACTTTTGCTACACAAAAATTGATCCATTTACCTCCCAAAATAAGGTTAAAAATATAAGAGAAAAGTTTGAGAAGCTATATGAAGAATATGCGAGCAATCTCAAAGGATCAAGTGCTTCTAATTCTCATTCATCCATCAATTCCAATCTTTTGCACAAGTCAAGTGGTGAAAGCAATAGGCCAAAAATATCAAAATTATACATAAGTGCAAGTTCTTTTGTGCTAATTTAGTCATTTTTTTTTTCATTGTTGTTTCGTTTATATAATTGATATATCAAATTTTGCAGGAGTTTGAAAGGTTTGAGAATGAAAGTATGTTTGTTGGTGGTAAGAGTGAATTAAATCTTTATTTGGATGAACCAAAAGCTAAATATGGTGATGGAGAGGATTTTGACGTGCTTAATTATTGGAAGCACAGTGAGAATAGATTTCCCACACTCTCTATTATGGCCCGAGATGTGCTAAGTATTCCAATTACTACAGTGGCATCAGAATCGGCTTTTAGTATCGGTGGGCGTGTTCTTACCAAATATAGAAGTTCCACTCTTCCTGAAAATGTCCAAATGTTGATTTGCAGTAGGAATTGGTTGCATGGTTTTCTCGAGAATCTTAATGGTAATGCTTTGAGTTATTATGCTTAATATTTTAATATTGCTTGGTTATGTAGGGATTGATTGTCTAATTTAGTAGTTTTGTTTCAATTGGTTATGAGTTTTAGAAAAAGATGATTCTAATACTAGTGATCATGAAACAACAACATCACAAGCCAATGTGCATCAAGAAGTTCAAATTGAAGATTAGAGAGGTATTTCTGTTAGTAGCTAGTTGAAATTTATAGTTTAGATCCATTGATTATGTGTAAGTTGAGCTTAATTGATTTAATTGTGATGATATATAGTATTTACATTGATTTTGTGCAGAATTGATCCTGCGAAGTTGAGGCCACTGCTGCTGCTGTATATTTGGCATCCATTCTTGAGTATATGACAGTGTTTCATAGAAGACTCTTCAGTGACAGTGTTGCAGCACTCTTTGAGAACTGGGTTGAAGATAAAAAGGTTGAATGATACATCACACCTTAGGCTTCTCTAGTTAGAGAATGATCTAAATTTTTGGCATTGGTTTGAATTTTATAAATTTAGCTTGGTTGTTGTTTATATTCACCAATTCACAAGAATTGATGCCTTTTATTGTAACCTTTATTTATTTCTGCACTGGTCTATTACCTAAGAGGAAAGATACAGGAGTTGGATTGTTGTATCAATTCTTTTTTATTTGTAGCTTACTGAAGTTATTGTTATGCATATACTTGCCATGTATTTCCAAGTACTTCAGAGGGTGCAGTTGTTTTGGAATTCGAATGCTTTTATGATATTCTCAATCCCAGAGACTGGACAGATAAATTTTGTTCATAAACTTGGACTCTTTGCAATCAATACGAATTGGACCACCAGCTGTAGGTGAGAGATTCCCATTAGGCTCAGTGGTGTCATCAAGCAGAATACCTCTCTGTTAATTCCATATTGTGATCTTATCTTTTATTTGTCCCAAGATTCGTAGCATCCCACATGGAACATGCTATGATGATCCAATTGTCATGTGAATCTCAAAATGATAGTTAATGGTGAGAATGAATATTAAATTTTTGGAAGGCCCATGGGCTAGCCCTAACCCTTAGGGCTTTTGGCCCATGTGGGCCTATACCATTGTGGGCTTTTTGGCCCTGCGGGCTTTTTGGCCTTAACCCATGCGGGCTAAGGCTAAATGGACCGGGCTGGCCCATTTTGACAGTTCTATCGAAGACTTTGAAGGAGGAGTCTCAATATTTGATAATTCAACATTAAGGGTAGATGAGAACAAAAGCTCAACATTTTTTCTCTTAAAATAAGCATCAATTGTAGAATTCTTTCCCATAATAATCACCTACAAAGAGCATAAATTATTCTATCTCTTCACTATAATAATTATATATTTAAATTCCCACTATTTCAAATATTTAGAATTAGAGTACAATAAATGTATTTATAAATATATTAATCTTGGCAAATGATAATTCATTTGATCCAACCTAACAACTAAATTAGTAAAAACATATATATTCAAACAAAAAAAAAGTGACTCGAATAATGTTGCATCAAAATAAAAATAAACTATATAATATCTTTACTTTATTAGTTTGAATAGGAACAAAAAAAATAAAAGAGCATAAGTTTATAATAAATGAATATACTAACCCTTTGGGAATTGTGTTTCAATACTTTTGGCCTTGCTTTGCTTATACAAGATCGACACCGACACCGTCTTGCTTGGTCGTCTTGCTTGGCCTTGGCCTTGCTTATACACGACAAGCTCCTAAAGAAGATTCTCGACACTTGTTGCAAGTTCTTGATGCTAAGGGCGAAGTCAAGGTTCAGAATTAGGTTTGGGCTCTTTTCTTTCCCAAAATTTTAACTCAAAAAATTGGAATTCTTTTTTGTATTATGCACTTATGCTATTGCCTTCTTTGACCTAAATCCTCTAGATAATCAGGTGTGCCCCAATTTGGAAGTTTTGGGTTTGTATTTTTTGAAACTCTTTTTTAGCCCATTTACCTATTTTTTTTAGTCTAAAAATATTTAATTTTTTCAGCCCAAAATTATAATATGTATATATTAAAAAAACCTAAAAATCAGGGAGGGGCGGTGGCCCACCCTAGCCCCTCCCCTGAGTCCGCCCCTATGGGCAATCTGTAATCCCTTCCAAAAATTCTTAAAAAGATTGAGGGTTCTATCCTGGTCTGGTGGGATATGATTGTCTAAACAAACAAACGAAAAAATCTCTGTATGTATAGAAGTCCTAGAGTTTCAAGGGTTTATTGTTTGTTATGTTATATTGTACGTCACTAGATATAAGGTTTTATCTTGTCATCTAAAAAAGTCATTTTGGGAGGGAGAAATTTTTTTTGTGTGGTTCGCGTTCAAAATTAATTGTAGAAAATTTAAATATTATATTTATTTCCATAAATAGTTATACCATCAATTAAGATCGAAAATTGATCAATTCTCTTATTTATATCATTGATTCACTTTGTATAGTTATGATTTCCCTTAAAATCCATTAAGATCTGTTTCACCCTTAATTAGAATTAATTAAGATTGATTTAATTTGTTTCCTTATTTTTCCTATATATAATACTTTCACCCTTCAAAACGATGTAGTTTTTAAGTGACAGGATAAAATCTT